GTATTTTTACAGTCTTTATTTTGCAGTTAAAATATATGTTTATCAAATAAAGTCTAATCTTACAACTAATCATGGATCCCTTTAAATAAGATAATGAGCTGCCAGTCATTGTCTTTAGGGGTTCAGAGTCTTCAGCTGCACTAAATCAAAAGTGAGTGCCAAGAAAGCAACACAGTGAACACCAAACAAGCCAAGGATGTTTTCTTAGTTACTCATCAAAAACTCCCTCAGAGACTCACTGCAATACAAAGTAGACAATTGAAATAAGATACTCACACATCCATGACACTCCCACCAGATGCCAGGATTCTGTTCATTAATTTCAGTCTTTAACATGGTCATTCTACAACTCAAAGTGTAGCCCTGAATTTTGGACTTGCAGTCAGTTTGTTGTCACATCAGGCTCTGTCAGACGGAGCGCAGGAGCACCTCAGGGATGTGTGTTCGGTCCTTTGCTCTTTTACACCACTGACACATAAACCAGCTCAGTAAGTTTGCTGCTGATATGACAGTGATTTAACTCATTGGGAAAGACAACAGAATATCTTACAGAGTGTGACCTGTTGCAACAAGAACAATCTATAACTTCGCCGGCCTTGAAACGTTACTTTTTATAGAGCTTTAGCGCTTTACACTTCAGTCATTCACACACTGATGGTGGTAAGCTACATTGTAGCCACAGCTGTCTTGTACCGGCACCACCTGACCCTCTGATCACCACCATATCTGTAACCACTCATGCCAATCTTGTAAAACTGTTTATTAAGGCAGATGTTTTCTCTGTTTTCAGGTTTGGAGTCTCTGCGCGACAGTGCCCACTCCACACCGGTGCGCTCCGTGTCCCATGGCGACTCCTTCATGGCTTCCCGGGGACAGCTGGAGATCGGCAGCGAGGCGAGCACGTCGGGAGTAATCTCTGATGAGATCTACAGCCCCTCGGACAGCGTGCTGCCCACGCCGGTGGCCGAGCACGGGATGGAAATGCCTTTGGCGCGTCACCTCAACGGCGCACCCTGCAGCATCGACGAGGAGGAGTCGTCACAGAGGGGGGCACTGAAGGAGGGGCCAGTGGCAGAGTCCGGCTCTGGTAGGAGAGTGCTGCGCGTGGTCAGGGCAAAGCCTTCATCACAAAGCGATGTAGAGGAGCTGAACAAGTTCATCCTCAGCGTGCTGCGCCTGTTCCTGGTCACCATCGGCCTGCTGTTTGCCCTGCTGCTGCTTCTCATTATGCTGACCGAGTCAGACCTGGACATCACCTTCCTCAGAGACATCCGTAAGACCCCCGAGTTCCAGCAGTTCCATTTTGAATATTTCTGCCCTCTGCGGCGCTGGTTCGCCTGTAAGTTACGGTGGATGGGAGGGTTCCTCGTCAGCAAGTGAGGAAAACTGACTTTAAGCCCTCCTGATGGAGACAGGAGACGTTCACTGGATGGGTCAGGAAATGAGGGGGAGCAGATGAAGGTGACTGCCTTGTTAATAATATTGGCATAGCTTCTCTCATGACTGACTTCCTGTCAGAAACCACAGACTGAATCATCACACGCAAAGAAATCACACTTTACTTTAGAAATGTACCTAACCTGGAGGACTTTTATAACACAGTCACAGAAACAGGGTTTAATTAAAACTAAGTCTTATAGACTTCACTTATTTAACCAGAGATGATAGTTGCCTTTATTTTTTAATTTATTTATAATGTTGTGACATTATTATAAGCAGAATAACCCCAGGTTTGAGCTGTTTTGTGAGAACAAAATTTAGGTAATGTTTTAGTAAAACAAGTACACCACGTTCCAAATTATTATGCAAATTGTATTTGAGTGTCAAAGATTTTAGTTTTTGTTTTTCATTTAAACTCATAGATGGTGTTGTGTCTCACAGCTCGTTGGATCACTGAAATTAATCTGACGCCTGTTATGATTAGTTTACCAGGTGAGCCCAGTTAAAGGAAAAACTACTTCCACATTATTAAGCAGACCACCATTTTCAAGCAATATGAGAAGGAAAAAGGATCTCACTGCTGCTGAAAAGTGTGAAATAGTTAAATGTCTTGGAAAAGGAATTAAAACCGTAGATTTTTCACAAAACCTTAAGCATGATCATTGTTGTGTTAAGAGATTTAAGGTTGATTCAGAGCACAGGTTCATGCAGATAAAGGTACAAAGTTTCTGTCAGACAAATACATTAGATTAGGAAAGCAGCTGCTAAAATGCCAAGAACAGATATTTGAAGCTGCTGGGCCTCTGGAGTCCTGCAAACATTGAGGTCTAGGATCCTCCAGAGGCTTGTAGTTATGTAGAAATCATCTATTCGGCCACTCCTGACCAATACTCAGACACAGCTGCAGTGGGCCCAGGAATACATGAAAACTAAAATTATCTTCATGCATGATGATCATGCTGGTTTACATCCTATACAATGGGCCTCAGGCACGAACATGTTCGTGTTCTTATACTAAATTTCTCTTACTTTTGTTTGTATGAACATGCCACGTCAGATTCAACAAACTCTTCTATCTTTAGGAAAAGTGTGTAAATGAGCAGCGTAAACTGAAGAATGCGTATGCAGGTGCTTGCGCACGGGGAGAGGAGATTAGCATAATTACCACCCCAAAAACACCATAAAAGGCTATGTTTCCTGTCCAACATACCAGGAAGTGTTCATTCAGGAAAATGACAGTGAAAAGGAAAAAGAACTTTGGAGATTGAAGTCCTGCTCTCAGAGATCCAGAAAAGAAAATCTGTCATTTTTAGCAGCTCAGCTGTGGAATTAAAGGAGCTGCTAAAGCCAAGGAATGAAATGACGATTGTTGTTAATGTCGTGTCTCCCATGGGTCAGACACAGAAATAAAGATCTAAATCATATTCATCTCTCTCTGTAGTCCTGCTCCGCTTTTCCTTTGGTCAAATATTTTTGAATCAAATGTAAACAACTGTGTTAAATAATTTTCATTTATTCAGAAGACCAATGAGCCTGCCTATTGTCAACATAATTATGGAGTGTGATTTATTTTCAACTCAAAAAATCTTCAAACTAACGAAATATAAAGTTATTAGGGAGGAAAATCTGTCTGGATAACAGCAGACTGACTGCTGGTAAAATATTCGACAGGTCTGGACCACACGTGAGTTTTGTTCGTATCTGAAGAAAATTTTAGAATACAAGAAAATTGGTGAATGCCACAAATTCTCCTAAATCACTCATGTGCACAACTTAAGAACAAATCTGTTCATACAAACGGTTCTTGCATGAGGCCATTGTTTTGATATTTGTGTCTAATAATTTGGAACTGTATATTAGGGATTTTATTTTGGAAAAAAGTAGTGACATCATTGTGAGGTCTTTTCAACAACATTCAAATTCTACTCCAACTGACCTGAAAATAAAGCGACTGTCATTTGCATTGACTATTTAGGATAGTTAGAGAAAAATATAATTTGCGTAATAATTTGGAATGCAGTGTAGCGACAATAATGACTGGATCTGACTATGGCACGTTTCATTGAGGCAGAAAGCAGGAAAGAGACAAGAAAGCACTGTGTGTGAGTATCTAATCAGATAATACTGATTTATACAACTAAATGTGAATACCTTCTACACTCTCCTCAGCTCACTAGATTAACTTCACTCAGCTCAAATAGCTCCTAAACATTTGTAGCAATAGTTTTACAACAGGTGTTCTGTGCCAGCTGCCAGCAGATTTACTGTAGGTTTTATTTTTGGTCTGTTAGTTGTGCTCAATTAATAAATGACGTCTTTTGTAGGGATGGACAGCGACGGAGGTTACAAGTTCACTTTTCATTAAATAGTAGCCAGACAACGCAAGTAGCTGTAGTGTGTATGGTGTGTGGGTGTGTGGTGTGTGTGTGTGTGTGTGAGAGAGAGAGAGAGAAAGGACTAGTCGTCTCCTTGTTACTTCTAAAGGTAGAGGGAAAATGTAAGCCAGTGATAGTCAAGTGTCAGGCTAGTTCTTGGAGTTTTTCTTGATGTGCAATAATGTTAATAAATATAAAGACAATTTAAATCCATTAAAATGTAATTTATTTTTAAAATTCTACAATTAGTGCTTTCCCCCTGCAGTGCATAGAGGTAAACACTCCTCTCAAATGATTTACTAAACTTTATTTAGCCCTGCTGTGCTTAAATTCATGTACTATATGTAAAGTTTGGTATATTTAAATCATGTGTTCAATGTTCTTTTTGTAAAAAAAAAAAAAAAGCTGGCTTCTCAACGTACAGAGGCTTCCTCACGGTGACTTTATTGTATTTGAGCCTAAGAGAAGTAATGTTTACGTCCCATAATGTAACTTTCTCCATCACACCAACCAAAGAGCCCTCTGTTGTCTGGAACAGGAGCGTCTGCTTCAGCAGATAAACTGCAGTAAACCTACAGTCTGTTCCTTCAGCCTTATTACTTGGACCCTACAGACTATCTTACAGTGTGTTGTTAAAGTAAAAAAAATAATAAATCAATTCCCAAAGTGCTCAGAATAGAGGTTTATGTGTAAAAGCAGTTTATCAGCAGGTATATATTGTAACTAAAACCAGGCAGAGGTACACAGGTACCAGTAAACAGTGCAGGAGTTTATTGTATTTTTACTTCCCAAATCTTAAACTAACACATAAAACATGAGTTTCTCCAACAGAATTCACCAGTGAAGTGCACAGTTAATGTTAGCTTCACTAACCCACTGAATCTCAGCTCCGCTAACGCTAAACAGATTTTAAAAATTAGTGGAAGCTAATGGTAACCGCTAAGACGACTGTCAGTCTTCAGCTCCGTCCAGTTGAAGATTTGCAGGAAACAAACCTGTTGTTGGTTTTCTCTTGGTTTAATTTGAATGAGAAGGGGTTATCTGCAGAATCAAAGTGGGCGACACAAGAGTGGGCGTGTCTAAAGCATAAACACCTGTGGGCTACGAGGCCTACATGACGGTATCCTTAGARCCTGCTTGATGTCTTTACAGCCTGACCCTGACCCCAACACTAAGGTTAACCAGGAGAAATGTGACTCAAGTAGGGGTGTCCAGAAAAAGTGGTGCCGTACAGTAACGCCCCTTTTGTTCTTGTCCAATCAGGTGGTGCCGTACAGTAACGCCCCTTTTGTTCTTGTCCAATCAGGTGGTGTCGTACGGTATCGCCCCTTTTTTGTTTATCCAGTCAGGTGTGTCGCTTTAGAATCGCCTTTTGTTGGGACACGCCCACTCATCCGCAGAGACCCCTACTTGGTTTGAATCCCTAATCCAAACCTGAGTTACACTGACCAACTTCCAGTTTGGCCCTTTCAGAATAAAAGCATTTCTTTGATCACATTTGTACTTTTATAAATACTAAGTTAGTCAATACTTTATCATATTTTAGTCATTTTTTGTATTCAATAACTATTGTTGTTATTGTACTTCTTTTTGACACTCTTAAAGTTTAGTTGCTAAAAATGCTAAATGCCACACGGTGCCAGACACGTTCAGCACTGCTTGTAAGAGGGCATCGTTTTATTTAATTCAGGATAAATGACACAAAAACAGAAGTTTTACACCTTGGAATTTTTGGTGGACTTAAAGTTAGTGGAAGCTAATCAGTCCATTAAAGTTAGCAACAAAAAAAAAGTTAATTCAATAAATTATAAGCTAGTAGTGGAACTGTCCACCACTGATATTCACTGAACAAAAATGAAATCAACATTTTAATTTTTTCTCTTCAGCTTTTCTAACTTTTAGTTCCAGGTTGTGAAAGTAACAAAAATAGACCCAGCAAACAATAAAATTATTTAACTAATATTTCACAGTGAACTTAAATTGTAGTTTTTTTTCTTTCTTCTTTTCTTATTATCAATATTATGATAAATCACAAGTTTTTGCTTTGGTTTAATAAAATGGCACAACAAAAAATCAGCTTATTTATTCTAAATATTACAATTGCTGCAAATTATTGTGTTTGCAGAATTTTCTCAGTTGAAAAAAAAACAATTGAAGCATGTGAGAAAAGGAACTGCAGCTCCTGTTTCTGAAAATATTTGTTTTTAAATACCATTCAGGTGTTTCACCTTCCAATAAAATAATTTATAGAAACTTATGAGGTGCAAAGATTCCTGTGCGCAAGTCTGTAGAAAACTTCAGAAAAGTGGATTCCTTTGAAGTGTTTCTTAATTTTGGCTTATTTACAATAGAACATAAATCTACAGCACTTTCTAGGACCTGAGTAGTCACTTTATAGGAATTTTATTTAAAATGAACTGAATCTGTTTCAAATGTTTTGAACTGGCACATAACAAAAAGCCCGAGGGTTTCACCTTTATGAAACTTGTTGAACAGAATCCTGTCAGCAGAAACAAAATGTCTGATATGTCTGTACTGAAAGCTTCTGTCACAGTGTTCTCTGTAAGCATGTGTTCTGCATTCATTACCTCCAAACAAGGCTGCTTAAATCCAATCATTGACTGGAAACTGGTGTAATCTATGAATAAATATCTATTCTTTACATCTGGTATGTCTGCTTTTAATGTGTCAGATGTTAAAACCAAACCTGACCTGACTTTATCGTTTACTGTTTACATTTGACAACTTTCACAGGTTGACCCTAATATGTTATTTCTGTATTCAAATAAAAGTTGTTTGTGACACCTATAAACACCTAACTACAGAACAAATTGTCAGTTTGTTACATTTTTTTTACTTAAGCATTTCTCCATTTTGCTACTGATGCAATGATAAAATGCAATTAATAATGATGGTTACAGTTAAAACTAAAACAAGAGTCACTGATAAAAGCTACAGTGGGTAAAATAAGTATTAAACACGTCACCATTTTTCTCAGTAAATATATTACTAGAGGTGCTAATGACATGAAATTTTCACCAGATGTTGGTAACAACCCAAGTGATCCATACATACAAAGAAATCAAACCATAAATGTCCAGAAATGAAGTCTTGAAGCTGTCATTGACAACAAAG